TGACCCAACGTAAATCAAAATATCAGTCTCATATATCATCTTGCCTTTCTCATTTATCCTAATTCTCCTTTCAGAATCTGGGATAAACCAGATTTAGTGGTTCTGAGGCAGCTAAAGTAAGTTAGCCTTTTGTATCCTGTCCAGATTCTCCAGTTATTTGTCTTTTCCATATATTTAAAACAGCATATTACTGTGGAAATGCAATACAACCAAGATACTGCTCACCAGGGAACACAGCTAAATCTGTCCAGTTCCTGGCACATCTCCACTTCTTGGCCCATCACATTAGGCAAAATGTGAGATGAATGTCCATATACATGCTCATGAATATGTCTATATATAATCACTGCTCGTGCCAAACAAAAAGAAGTATTTTACAACTGAGTAAACTACTGAAAGGAAGAGAGGCTGTACTCTGACCTACCACAGGTGGAAGAAATAGGCTTCCCATCAAATGGATTGATTTTTTAAGTGTTTTTTAAATGATGTAGCAAACATCTGGTTTTTCATGCATTCCTCTAAATTCTCATCATAGTACATCTGAAGCTTTTAAAATTGCATTTTCTACTTCTTCCTTATGAAATCAATACCTTTGTAGGTATCTATCTCTCTATAGACTTTATTTCTCTTGAGGACAGTGTCCATGTTCTTCGAACCTGTGTCTCTTACATAGTACTTAGAAAATGCCTTACACATAGCAGGAGTCTAAATAAATATTTATTGAACTAATATTTATTGCAAAAGCTCTTAGTTTCTGCCTATGTCGTATACACAATGGAATCCCAGGATGACCCAAAGATTTGAGCCCAAAGAGTCATCATTATACCTTCCTCACTTACCAGCCTATTTTTAGGTCCAGTATGTTTTAAATCCATAGTACATGCTTTTAATTTTTTTAATATGATGGAGATGAATATGTAGAGGGTCTTTTGGTCACAGAAATTTCACTGCCAATTGTTTGCAATAATTATAGGAAATTGAAATTTTTAAAAGTTGGAAGAGACAGAGCACTATTTAGTAGGCAGACTGAGTTAAAAAAAAAAAAATCTGAGTTCCACCCATACTTTCTCAGAACTAAGACTCAGAGATGTTGATATTCTTTGTTTACCTTCTCCAAACAAGAGTAACTTTTATTCTTTTTTACCTATATGAAACAGAAATTGTAAGAGTCACCACTCAATTCCCCAGGAATTTGGGGCAACAGGCATTGTTTAGGTTTCTGGCACTCTCTGTTTTTTGTGGGGGTTGGGGGGGTTGTTGTTGTTGTTGTTTTTGCCTGAAGGCAGGGTTCTTCAACCCTGTGAATATCCTCAGAGTTTGCAGAGTGATGGTAAAGGACAGCTCACCCAGTGACAGCCCAGGGTTGCCCACCGCCTGCAGGACTGTTGTAAGTGCAGAAATAGTCTCGCCTTCTTAAGTGAAAAAGCCCATGGAGTGACACCCACCCACCATCTTTTCTTTACCCTCTCGGGGACTCCAGAAAATTTGTTTCTCTATCATTTATGAAGAAATATATGTATCAGAAGATCAAGCCAGCATAGAGAAGGAAAATGTAGGCCCAGAATGAGTACCAAGAAGAAATATTCATAAAAGATCCTTAGACATGCCACAGTCTTCATTCCTTACTCTAGAGAGGCAAGCTGTTTCTTAGGAGAGGTTCTAAGAACTGAGTGTACCTTTCTTAAAAGCCCGGTTGTCTGCTAATCTCACCTACTTCCTACAAGAAAGAATTATAACATGGCAGGATTAGGGATCTCAGACTCCATGTAAGCTTTCCAGAGTCACAAAGAATAACACTCTGCCTTCTACAGAACCCTCAAGTCAGCCAGCCTCCCCATTGTCACCACCATTCCTTAACAGCCACCTCATTGTTTCTGGTTATAACAATTTAATCATCTCCTAATTGGTCTCCCTTTCTACTATCTCCATAGAGCATTCTAGACATCCCACAAAAAGTATTCACACAAACTCATACCCATGCCTTCTATTTTGTGCCACTGTGGTGCTCCTCTGCCTCAAATCACTCTATGACTCTTGGTTGCATTCAGGAAAAAGTCCTTTGATGGCCAGAATTAAGTTATGGTCTACCATTATATTCCCAGTGTCTGCAGTGCCTGGAGCAATACCTTAGCCCAGCGGTTCTCAACCTGTGGGTTGCGACCCCTTTGGCGGTCGAACGACCCTTTCACAGGGGTCGCCTAAGACCATCCTGCATATCAGATTTTTACATTATGATTCATAACAGTAGCAACATTACAGTATGAAGTAGCAACGAAAATAATTTTATGGTTGGGGGTCACAACATGAGGAACTGTATTTAAAGGGCCAGAAGGTTGAGAACCACTGCCTTAGCCCATGATGAGGAAGAAAGAAAGAGAGGCAGAACAATGATAAATAGGTACACAGATAAGTAGATCACTTCCAATTGAAAGGTTTGATAAATTCCTCTCTTGTCCTGTGCCCAACCTTGAGCAGGCTCTCTCATCTTTCTTTACACATACATACTTTACTTCTACCAAAAGGGAAATGTCACCTTAGATCAGTGATGGCGAACCTTTTGAGCTCGGCGTGTCAGCATTTTGAAAAACCCTAACTTAACTCTGGTGCCATGTCACATATAGAAATTTTTTGATATTTGCAACCATAGTAAAACAAAGACTTATATTTTTGATATTTATTTTATATATTTAAATGCCATTTAACAAAGAAAAATCAACCAAAAAAATGAGTTCGCGTGTCACCTCTGACACGCCTGTTATAGGTTCGCCATCACTGCCTTAGATAGTGACCTGTGTGTTGAGCGTGTATGGTGGCCAAACATTCAGGAAGTAACTGAACAATTTAATCAGTCACTCAAATATTTTGTTTACAAATGCCAAACATTAGAAATTACTGGGTATTTGATTCTTTGTGACTGTTACTGAAGAAGATACACATTCTCAGACATCAAGTAATATCTTTAAAATGTACTCTGTTTTACTGATATTTTTTGTTCTAACTTTAACATTTTAACATCCATTTATTTATTATATATTTAAATATATAATACAAATTGGACAAATCTACCATGGCAAGTATCAGCAATGATTACATTAGTTTCTTCTTTAAATTTACTTTTTAGTAAAAAAATCTACCAACAAAAATAGTACTATATTTCTTGTTTCCATTATTTACCTTATGGACATTGATTCTATGTTTAATCCCTCCTTTCTAAAATTTTAGAAATTAAAATTTTTGCTTTTCTAGGGGTAATCCCAGAACTATATACTTGTAAAATCCTAGCTTTCACTTTCAATTTTCCCAATAATTATACTAATGAGGTTTATATTTTGTAGAGAGAAAACACTTTTTGTAATTGAAATTTTCATGTATGAAAACTGTTTCACCAAACATGTTCTATTATCTACTGCTTTTGAACAATAAATCTGTCCTACAATAATATGAGGCAAAAATACTTCACTAGGCCCACTTGTTTTTAGAGTAGCCTGTTCCTGCTTAAATATGCTAAATACCATAAGTTCTAGTTCTTTCTCTTCCATGGAGAAATCTAGTTTATCTGGAAATCAAATATAAAATTCTTAGATATTGTAGATAACTTCCTATGAATCCTCTCTTCTTTAGACATTCTTTGGAATGAATTAATATATTTGAGTGACTATTTTTTTAAATGTTCTCTTGTTACTCAGTGGTTAAAAAAAATGTGCCTTACCCAGATCAGAGGTAGACATAGCAGGACATCTTAGCAAATGATTTGTATCTCTTTACATTGCTGTTTTTAGTTACTTTTTTTTTTCCAGAAAGACCTAATTTTTATTTATTTTATTTTTTTCAATTACATTTGATATACAGTATTATATTAGTTTCAGGTGTATGGCCCAGTGATTAGACATTTCTATAACTTTACAAAGTGATCACTCTGATAAATCTAGTACCTATCTGACACCTTACATAGTAATTACAATACTATTGATTATATTCCTATGCCGTACTTTACATCCCCATGACTATTTTGCAACTATCAATGTGTATTTCTTAATCTCTTCCCTTTTTTCACCCATTGCTCCAACCGCTCTCCCATTTGGCAACCATCAAAATGTTCTCCGTATCTATGAGTTTGTTTCCATTTTGTTTGTTTGTTTGTGTTGCTTTTTATATTCCACATGTAAGTGAAATCATATGGTATTTGTCTTTCTCTGTCTGACTTAATTCCCTTAGCATAATATCTTCTAGGTCCATCCATGTTGTTGCAGATGGCAAGATTTCATTCTTCCTTGTGGCTGAGTAATATTCCATTGTATGTATGCACCACTTCTTCCTTTTCCATTCATCTATTGATGGACATTTACATTGCTTTCACATCTTGGCTATTGTAAATAATGCTGCAGTGAACATATGGATGCATGTGTCTTCTTGAATTAGTGTTTTGGGTTTATTCAAATAAATACCCAGAAGTAGAGTTGCTGGGTCCTTCTTTGTCTCTTGTTATAGCCTTTGTTTTAATGTCTGTTTTGTCTGGTAAAAGTATTGCTACCCCAGCTTTCTTTTTCCCCCCATTCCCATTTTTATGAAATATCTTTTTCCATCTCTTTTACTTCCAGTCTCTGTGTGTGTTTTTTATCTGAAGTGAGTCTCTTATAAGCAGCATATGCAGGGGTCTTGTTTTGTTATTCATTCAACCACCCTGTGTCTTTTGATTGGATCTTTAATCAACTTACATCTAAAATAATTGTTGATATATAGTTATTGACATTCTATTCATTTTTTTTATTCTTCTCAAAGAGGAACCTTTGATATTTCCTGCAATAGTGGTGTGGTGGTGATGAACTCCTTTAGCTTTTTCTTGTCTGGGAACTCATACTTTTTATTGCAGAATAAAATAAAATATATGTATATATTTTGGTTTATTCATAGAATATACTAACTTATTAAGAAATTGTACTCAGTAACTTATTCACCATGTTTCAGCTCACAATGATTTTCACTTTGTTCCCCCTGTATAGGGTAACTACAGTGTCCAGGATTCTCCTAGTCCAACAACTAGTCCTTCAGGGTTAACTCAGTTAACATTGGAGAGCATGCTGGGGAAGGCTGCAAGGTGGACAAGTAAAGAATATCTAAAAAGTGCCTACACAGAAGCAGAAGCATCAGAAAGCCAGAATTTCTTGGTGCAGCAGATAGATAGAAACAACTTTCAACCGAGTTTGGTGCCTGTACCATGCCTTTCTCCCCCTGGAAGAAGCAGTGAACTCTCTCAGAATGCTCCAGATCCCATTATCAAAGCAAAGGACCAAGTGCCAGCTTCAGTCACCAAAGCCTCCCTGAAGGAAATCTCAGAGGATAAGCTGAGACCGACTCCTGGATTAGCAGTAAGTGGGTCCACCCTGGTTTACATATGCGGGCGTCCATCCTGCTGTTTTCTGTTCCGTTCCACTTTGCACACATTCTCAGCAGTATCTATTTTTCATCATTTGGGTGATCAGTAATGTAGTTGCTTTCCTATTCAGATGTGTTTTAGCTCAGTAACAGCAGCTGTTAAAGGGTATTGCACATCCCAACGATAATAGAATGCCTCATGTTTTTAATGAGAAAGATAATTATCATAATAGTTATTTTTTTATTTCCCAGTTACTTCTCATTATTTTAGTCATCACTGCTTGCAAATTATAAATGAAGATCTTATTTTTGAGCCAAAGGCTTGCCAGTAAAGTTGACAGATTTTCAATAACAATCTACATTAGGAGCCATAAAAACATCATTATTCTATTCACTTTGCAGCAGTTCCCCAAATAATAAATGGTATGAGTGAAGGTTAACAGTAAAGCAATGTCATTGAGTAAATCCCTAGGCTAGTTTGGTGGCTATCTTCATGTCCATCAGATTGATTTTTTTTCTTCCTGTGTTGTCCTTTTCTTCCTTCAGTTCCCCCGTAGCTGCACTTAGAAACCGGAGACTATGCAGGACAGATGACACTTGTATTCCATTTTCTAAACATTAAAGAGTGTTTCTATTTGTCATGTCCTAAGTATTCCAAGTGTGTTACAATGTAAAGCTTTGGTCCAATTATATTCTAAGCAACTTATAGTGGATAATTATTACCTAGCACAGGTAAGACACATATACATCATCAGCAACAAAATAGAAATAGCTGATATTTTTTAAACATTTACCACGTGGGAGTCATTGTACCAAGCCTTTTCCATGAAGTATTCCATTTCATCCTCACGATGACCCTGAGGTAGAGACTGTTATCATCCCCTTTTTTCAGATGAGGAAGCTGCAGTTTGGAACAGTTACACAGTTTTTTCAAGGACAACAGTTGTTTTGAGAGTCACAACTTGAACCTAAATTTTCTGTGTCTAGAACTACTGGCTATGGCCACCATACTATTCTGCATAAACATGTGCTAAGTCATAAAAGCAATGGTCTCTCTTTAAGAAACATCCAAAATTAAAACAAATGAATTTTCCCCTTTTTATTTCTCATACTTATGTGCATGTTTGTATGTGTGCATGTAAAAAAATAGTAAATCACTTAACCTAATAAAAATGGATTTGTTTTATGGTGATTTCGGATGAAAGTAGTCAATAATATTTTTCCATGTTTTATTTTTGAAAATATTTCTAAAACAAATGTTCTTGTTCTCTCTAACTGTCATTTTTTTTTTTTGGCTGTGCTAATGATTGGAATGCAGCCAATAAACTAACCTTAGACATTTATTCTACAATGCTGGGCTGCCAAAAACAGAACCAGAGCAAGTCTTGGAGAAGCATTCCACTCCATTTTCTCCCTAATTTCTTTGCCTCCACCTTCCATTAGGTAGAATCTAATGGAATTAGATTATATGTCATCCTATATATTCAAAAGATTTCTTATTTCCATTTTTTAAATCTTCCTGTAGAGATAAAATCAGAGCATCACAATCAGCTTGGGGACTTCTGCACAAATGGGCTTTAAGTACCTGGACAGTCCACTGCCTGAAAATAGTGCTTTCTGATAATACCAGGGACAAGGGAAGGAGCAAAGAGGCTGAAGTTTGGAGAGAGAGCAGGGACTTGCCCTCCCATTCTCTTCATTTAAGAAGCTTTTAGGATAAGACAGTTTCCAGAAGCCATTTACATTATTTCAGGAGACCCTTCTTACAGCCACACACTGCAGACTTCACAGCACAAGCCTGACCCATGTCTGCTCTGCTCAGGAGCCTTCTGAGTTGGTGCTGGTCCATTTTACAGCCATGAACCCTGACAGCAGTGGCTTCAGAGAATGAGAGGGAGAGGAGCTTTGTCTCTGATGAGGGCATAGAGGCACAAAGGCATTGCTTACCATTTGTGCAGAGAGCTTTGACCTCAGTGTCAACATTCAGACTAATAAAATTTGATCTCTAACAACCCACATAATCACTACAATCTATGGCTCAATTTGTGAATGTGATCATTTCAGTTTAATAGGATATAGAATTATTGAAGGCCTACGCGGTCTGCCCCATTTCAGAGTGAGTTTACAGTGACAGTGGATGCTCTTCCAGAGACACCATTTAAAAGGAAACTCGAGGTCATAGTGAAGGGTTTTAATGAGCGACATTCTTTCCACTTGATGTTTGCAGGTAAGAATCTGTGGAAACAATGTCCTCTAAAGAGTGTCGTGTGTACTAGCTCCACAGAGGGATTTTCCCCACATCCCAGAAACCCAAAGGTTTTTATTGACTGCTTTACTAAGATTGAATTCTCACAATATAGAATTTAGCCTTTTCTTAGTATATTCACAAAGTTGTGCCACCGTCACCACTATCTAATTTTAAATCATGTCATCACCCTAAAAGAAACTTCATACTTATTAACAGTCCCCCTAAACTCCTGGAAACTGCCAGTCTACTTTTTGTATCTATGAATTTGCCTATTCTGGACATTTCATGGGCTTTGTGTCTGACTTCTTTCACTTAAGTTTTTCAAGTTCATCCATGTGGTGGCAGGTTTTCCTTTTTATGCCTGAATAATAATTCATTATATGGATATGCCATATTGGCTTATTCATTTATTAGTTGGTAGACATTGGTTGTTTCCACTTTGGAACTATTAGGAATTATGCTGCTATGAACATTCATGTGCAAGTTCTTGTGTAGACATATGGTTTAGTACTCTTGGTATATACCTAAGGGTAAAATTGCTGGTCCATAAGGAACTTTATATTTAACTTTTGAGAAACTGCCAAACTGTTTTTCCAAAATGGCTGTGCCATGTTATATTCCCATCAACAATGGAGGAGGGGGGGGTGTCCAATTTCTCCATATCCTGGACAATACTTCTTACTGTCTGTCTTTTTATTTAAGCCTTCCTGTGGTGTGGTATCATTGTGGTTGTGTCTTGCATTTCCCTAATGGCTAAAGATGTTGAGCATCTTTCATGTGCCTATTAGCCATTTATATATCTCCTTTGGAGAAATGCCTATTCAAATGCTTTACCTATTTTTTAAACTGGATTGTCCTTTTATCATTCACTTGTAAGAGTTTGGATACAAGTTCCTTGTCAGTTATATGATAAACAAATATTTTCCGCTCTGTAAGTTGTCTTTTCATTTCTTGATGTTGTCCTTTGAAGCACAACAGTTTTTAATTTTGATGAAGTCCAGTTTATCTATTTTTTTCCCTTCAGTTGTTTGTGCTTTTGGTGTTATATGTAAGAAATCCTTGCCTAATCCAAGGTCATGAACATTTTCTCCTGTTATTTTCTAAGAGTTTTATCATTTTAGCTCTTAAATTTAGTCCTATGATCCATTTTGAGTTAATTTTTATTAGTTAATTATTTTGAAAGTTCAACTACATTGTTTTGCATGTGGGTATCCAGTTGTGCCAGCACCATTGGTTGAAAGACTTTTTTTTCTATTGAGTTTTCACCCTTTTTGAAAATCAGTTGACTATACATGCCAGAGTTACTTCTGACCTCTCAGTTCTCTTTTATTGATTTATTAGAGGCCCGGTGCACAGATTCGTGCACCGGTGGGGCCCCTCAGCCTGGCCTGCACCCTCTCGCAATCTGGGACCCCTTGGGGGATGTTAGACTGCCTATTTTGGCCCCATCCCCACAGGCCAGGCCGAGGGACCCCACCAGTGCACAAATCCATGTGCCAGGCCTCTAGTATGCCTCTAAGACCTTTGGTTAATCTCTTCCCGCACTCCCCCCTTCCCTCTCCCCTCTGAGATTCATCAGTCTGTTCCATGTTTCCATGCCTGTGTGTTGAGCGTCTTCCCCCTGGTGGTCAGTGCACGTCATAGCTGCTGGTCGAACAGTCACTTAGGCATACACACACACACACACACACACACACACACACTAGAGGCCCGGTGCACAAAAATTTTTGCAC